TTCGATCTTATATATATATATATATATATATATATAGAGAGAGAGAGAGAGAGAGAGAGAGAGAGAAAGAGGGGATGGTTCAAACGACACCGGTATAACTTTTACTAAATATTACACCGCTCAATAACTTTATATTAAATGTGAATTTTATAAATTCAACCATTAGATTAAAAGTTCATATCACTTTATATGTATATATCAAATTTTATAAAAATTGAACAACTTAAAGGTAATCAAAGTGTTCATATTTTATTATATTTTGAAATGTATATATATATTACGGCAATTTTGTTTTATAAGAATAAAGTATCAAATTATCTTAGATTAATATAAAATTTTGTATATATAATCTAAGAGTTAAAAATTTTCAATCTAACACTAAATTTATAAAATTCATATTTAATATAAAGTTATTAAGCAGTGTAATACTTAGTAAAAATTATATCGATATCGTTTGAACCCTTCTCATAGTATCAAATTAGCTAAATAATACCTTTAATATTTTTTATGAAATACAAATTAAGTTAATATAATCGTTATATTTAATGATATTATTCATTAGATTAAACATATAAAATTTTAGTATTTTAAAATTATTTAATAATTCATATCACTTTATTTTAACTATAAAATAATATTTAAAATACATATATAAATATATGTTATCATATAACATATATAAAGTTAATAGCATTAAATACAATCTTATATATTAAAAATGTGTACCTATAGTATGCTAAAAGTTTGTGTTAGTACGTAGGAGATTCTGGTATATATCAAAAAATATATTTTTATATTTTTAAGAAAAAGACAAAATTCCACTCTTCGGCCAACTAATTACCTCAAAGATTAGTACTCTGTGTGTACTAGGTAAAATCTTTTATAAGGAACTATATTTGGATTGGATAGAATAACGAAGTATATTACTGTATTATAAGGTCGCTTCATTAAAAAAAATCTAAATAAGTTTATTAGGAAGGTTGTGGAAATTTTGTGACTGTATAAAAGAATGTTAAACTGTTATTAAAAATCCATTTACCAATGTAGCAAAATTATAAGAAACAACTTAAAACAAAATAAGCATAGCTGCCAACATTGTTGTTACGGCATTCAGCATCGATGCAACTCGCACAAAGTAAAACTCATTACCATCAGTATCATCGTCATAGGAAAACGAACTAAATTTCAAAATCAACTTTATTTTATAAGACATGGACCATATAATATAATGAAGAAAGTACATCATCACGTACCTCACGGGTACATTTGACTCTGAAATATAGAAAGGGGTTTGGCAATGGGAGTTAAAGAAAACAAGTTAAGGAAAAAGGATAAGGGCACTCTATTGGTGCCCAAAGGTTATGTTCCAATCTGTGTTGGCAAAAGTGATGATACATGCAAGCGGTTTATGGTTCCCATCAGAGCACTTGGTGATGCATATTTCTGCGAGCTGTTGGGTAGGTCTGAAGAGGAATATGGGTTTAGGAATGAGGGGGTTCTGAGGATCCCATTTGAAGCACAACACTTTGAAGAGTGGTTGATCAGAAAGTCCAATAATGGCTAGATTGTAAGTAAGAGGAGGGTGAAACCAAACTTGATTAAGGAAACTATTCTTTTTATTATTGTGGGACTGCCTTTTTTTATTTACATTCTTTTTTTTAGATATGGAAATAGATATTGCTAGAATTTAAATTATTCTTGTGTCTTTAGGATTGGTTATCTTGTATCTTAAGTGGTGATTATAACTAGATGACTTGATGTAGATGTTAACTACTTAAACTAGAAATCTTGTATTTAATTCTAATTAATCATATGTAAAAATCTTTTACACTATCAATAGTTACATTATTATGAATAATATATAGTCTTTAACATAATGAAAGGGTAAAAAATGGTGATTACAAAATAAGATTGTGTGAAATACAATACACAAGATAGAGTCAATGACTTATCAATAAGACTTAAATAAATTAGGTTAAGTTAGATTTTGACATATTTATCTGTAATAAATCTTTTCTAAAAACTTTGTTTGACCAACATAAAAATTGTCTAACTTACAAACTTATTTAAAAGTTTACTTTATAATAAATTAATATAAAAATAAATGTCATAAGTACGTTAGAGCATCTCTAACAGGAATTGTTTATCCGTTTCTTAAAATTATCTCATCATTTCTTTTTAAAACTTTGCATTGGGAATAATCTAGGTAGCAAAGTGGGTTCTTTAAATCCTAACAATGTTGTTTGCAGAAGCTCTGTTGCTTAAAAAAAAAAAAAAAGAGAAAAAATTGATTTCCAAAATAGGTTTATTGAGAAGAAAAATGAAGATTTCATCTCCCATAAAGAAAAGAAAATTATGAAACGAAAATGAAGATGAGAAGGAACTAGCGTGCCTCTGTCCACCTCGGCACGCGCCTCTCTGTGCATCACAGTCCCTGAGTCGGCCTTTGCATTCCTCCGTGCACCGTTGATCCCTTAGCTGACCTCCTCCCACCTCGAGCTCGCCTCTGCGCATGTCTCTTCGTGCGCCTCTCCCTAATTTCCCTTATCCCCCGCCCAGCCTGAATGAAAGTGGAGAATGAAAATGGAGTCTAAAAATAGATAAAAGAGACGTTGAAGTAATCGTTAATAATTTTTTTATTAAAAAATTAAATTAATTGAATTTTGCAATATGAACGTTGGAAAATAATTGTTGCAATACATTGGAAAATTAACACTGCAATACGAACATTAGTTTCCAACGGCACCAAAAAAAAATCTTCTCTATAAAATGGTCACTATTCAATGAATTTTCTCTCTTCTATTATTATCTTATCTCTATTTTGTTTTTTTAAGTATTCTTGCACATGGATCCAAATAGATATAATTTGCAAAGATTAATTATTTGCAAAACCTATCATTACCTCTG